TCATTCTTTCCGAAATATGCATATTTGCATTCCCCGATCACGAAAAGAAAAATGTCTTTCTAAGTGGCATTTTGTTACAACGGAGAAAATGATTTTGCGAGTTGAAAGCAAAAGAAAAATCTTTTTGTTTGTGTTTATTGTTTATTTGAATTATAATGGATGTACAAAATTTGAATATTAATTAGTCTCTTAATGCATGCAATTTCTAATTATTTTAATAATTGCATCTGATTAGTTTTTCTTTATTTTTTCTCAGTAAAATCAAAAGTGTTACGGTGGTAGACTTGTACAAAGGCTATGCTCTAGTAATTAAGAAAATATAAATGAAAAATGTTGCTTACATTGGTATTGATCATTCATTGATAGCTTAATAAGACCAGTAGATAGAGTTAAAGGTCAATTGATTATATAATTACATATATAATCTCAAAAGGAAATATTTTATTAATTCAAAAAGTGTGTTTTTATTATAAATACATAATAACTCAAAGCACTTAAAAATGTGTAAAAATCTGTAAGATAACTGAAACGCGTGAAAATGCTTAAAATTTTTCATTTTTTTATGTTACTTTTAATAAATAGCGGGTACTTTTCTACATCATAATTTATGAAAATTCGATAAATAGAACGCTAGAAAATTGAATTTTAAAATTGTAAGCAAATGTGATGTAACTATGATTCAGGTGCACTTTCTTCAAAATCCGTTTTGTGTGTGTGTGTGTGTATGTGTATTGTAAGGAAATAATTTTTCTATAAAAAGAATGTAATTTTTCTCTATTATATGTTCAAATTTATTGAAAATTTTACATTTTTTCTGCAAAAATTACAGAAAATTTAAATAATTAGTTACAGAATTTTAAAAAGACTTTTTGATTTTTGAAATGTTAATTATGTTTAGTTTTGCTTTTATAAATACTGAGTGTAGTTCTTAAATTATAAATGAATTGTATGTAGTACAAAGTGGATATTCAGGGTTATTCTAAATTAAGTTCACAGCTTGTAAAACAGACATTTCGTTTTTCCTAACTGCTTATTGTTAACATTTGAATACTCATGAATAACTCTATTTAACTAACTCTTTTTTCAAATCATAGATGAAAATATCTTTTTTTTGCGATTTTCTCAAAATGCATTTTTTGGTGTTTCCGGTACACTTTTCTCAAAATCTACTTTACATATATTGTTGATATTTTGCACATTATAAGATACACAAATTTTCAACAAAGTGCATGAATTCTTTTTCAAATAAACATTCACAAATTTTAGATGTGGCACAATTTCTGCGTAAAATTTAAAGGAAATTTAAATCACTAAATTAAAAAATTTTATAAATTTATTTTTTAAAATTTCATTTCATTCATTTTATGGAATGTTATGTTTGCAAAAACTCTGTAAAATTTTATAACTATATATGCAGTGGATTTTGTGCAAAGTGTACCTAATGATAAGGACATGCCTCGAAAATAAAAATAAATAAATTAAAAGTTAAAATTTTTTTTAAAAAAAACAAGCTTTTATTTAAATGCTCTAAAAAGAATAAAATAAACTTTTCTTTTAAAACTTTTTTGCTATCAACTTATAAAGTCGTTACACAATTTTTGATATAAAAGCTTGTCGCGAGATTTAAGTACTCGTATTTACTTAGTCTGAAAATTTTAAAAATTAAAATCAATCAGATCAAGTTATTTAATTTGCTTGTTTATCTACAAGAGGTGAAGGCAACATAACTCTGGCATAATATAATTTAATTTGTTACAGTTCATTTCATTTGTTATAGTTCATTTCATTTGTTATAGTTCATTTCATTTGTTTTAGTTCATTTAATTTGTGTTAATAAATCACTCCATTTTTATTACATATTAAAAATAAACTGAATGTTTCAAGTATGAAAATAAATCTCGCGACAAGCTTTTATATCATAAATTGTGTAACGACTTTATAAGTTGATAGCAAAAAAGTTTTAAAAGAAGAGTTTATTTTATTCTTTTTAAACCATTTAAGTAAAAGCTTGTTTTTAAAAAAGTTTTTTTTACTTTTAATTAATTTTTTACTTTTTAGTGATCGCTGGACAGGTTTCTCAATCTGTTCGTCTCATCCAACGCATCACTGATGCAAGGTCGTTTGCCGGTTATTTTTGAACAGTTCCCAGCTAAGAGTACTCAACATTTTTTCCCGCCAGGCCACATATATATGATAAATATTTCACTCGGGCCGCAACAAGAGGATAATGAAAAGGGGGATAAACACTGTTTGACCAAAACAATTTCGAACAAAGCAAAATTAATTAAAATATTAAAACTCTTTTTTTTTGTTTTTTTTTTGCTTTTACTATAATACTATATTTAAAACGAAAAACACAATTTCTTTTTTTAAATCCGTAATTTTAAACTAATTTTTTTCAATTTTTGTGCAGAATTTAGACAATACTACTCTACAAGCGAAAAAATATTTTCATACGATTATATTTAAAAAATGACGAAGTTTTTAAATGTTTTATTAAAAATTAAAAAAATTTTTGAAAAATCGTAAAAAAAAAGTTTTAGGCATTTTGTTTTTTAAATGACTGATTCTAAAAGAGAAAAACCTGAGCTTTCTTAGAGCAGAATATCGATTCAATAATACGAAAAAAAATTCATGCAGAATGATTTAGAAATCATTTTCATAAAAAAGCATCAATTTTGAATCATTTTAGAAAAAATTGTAAAAAATAGAAAATATCTTTATTTTTTAAAAAGAATTATACCGTATCATGGTGAAATAAATGATCTTTCCAATTAGGTAATTATTTTTAGTCTGAGTTTGATAGAAAGAATAAGATGGTTTTTGAAAAAAGATCGAAAAAAATCGGAACTTCTTTAAGCTCAATCCGAAAAGCTGCTCGGCAGATTAAAAAGCTAACAGGGGTAAATGGTTTTCAATTAATATCTTTTTAACTAATTGCGATATCGGAATATAAATCATCAAAACATTCATTGTCATCCAAACTAAATGTGAATACAAAATTTCAGCTCAATCGGTTGAAGACATCACCTTCAAAATTGAATTGCAAGATTCCACCCGAAAAAACCACTTTAATTAATATCTACACTATTAAAATTCGAAGGTAAACAAACGTATGCGACTATACGACTAGATGTATCTTCTCACTAACCGCAAGACGCAGAGACTCACCAAAGGTACCAAAAGCTTGGGAATGTTCCAAGAAATCCGTTTTCACAATTTATATTCCGTAAGTGCAGTTAGTTATTAAGGTATTAATTAAAAACCTTAAAACGCATAATTATTGCCATTTTTTCCCACCAGGTGGCAATTTTCCAACCTTTTTTTTTATGCCAGACGTTTTTAAAGCACGATTTTTTTATATGAGACTCAGACAAAAAATAGTTACAGAATCGGAAAGATTATTTACTTCGCCACGATACGGTATAATTTATTTTACAAAATAATGATATTTTCTACTTTTTACGATTTTTTCTAAAATGAGTCAAGATCGATACTTTTTTATGAAAATGATTTCAAAATCGTTCCGATTACATTTTCTTTCATGTTAATGAAATGATATTCTACACTAATAAAATTCATGCTTTTCTCTTTTAGAATGAGTCATTTAAAAAATAAAATGTCAAAACTTTTTTTTCACGTTTTTTCAAAAAATACTCAAAATTTTATTTAAATGCTTAATAATTTCTTTATTTATAAAAATAATATCATGAAACATTTTTTCCGTGTGTAGAATGATATTATCTGTAATCTGCACAAAGATTGAAAAAATTGCTTAAAAATTACGGTTTAAAAAAAAATTGTGTTTTTCGTTTTTTTTCCTTTTTGCGAGAAATATTTAAGCATTATTTCTGTTACATTTTTTGTTTAAAAATTACCGTTGTTTGCAATCGATATATGAAGTTTGGAGGCATTAACTTAAAAATGAAGCCTTTTAAACTTTAACAAATAATGCAATGCGAAATTGAATATCTCTTCCTTTTATTATAAAGGTCTTTTATTTCTTTTTTGCTGAAGATTTCGTGAATTGATCGCTTAGAGCGCTGGATTATTAACTTTTGTACCCGGGTTTGAAACAGCATCATCACTTATATAGTTTTTATGTTTTTTTTAAAAAGATACTCAAAATTTTATTCGCGTATTTAATAACTTCGCCAGCAATTTTGTAATTGGAAAGAAAATTTATTTCTTCACGGTACAGTATGCTTTTTTTTACAAAACAACGGTACTTTACATATTTTATAGTTTTTTCTAAAATGAATCAATATCGATGCGTTTAGATGAAAATGATTTCTAAAAACCTCATACTTTGATCTTTTACAGTTAGTGATTTAAAAAATAAAATGTCGAAAACTTTTTTTTAACGAATTTTGTTTGTGCAAAAATTCATTACTTTTTGTGCCACTAGATGGCTACACGTGTCAAGCTGCTTAAGAATCGGTGAATGTTCACTTACTCGAAAGTTGTGATAGCGAGAGGGGAAGGGGAATTTCCATGACAATATGCTATGCATTTAAATATGTTTGTGCAACGCCGGGGGAAATAAACCTGTCGGACAAAGAAAAGAAGCGAAAAAATATCGAAACAGGGAATTTTAAGTTATACCCTCGGTAAAAGCCCGAGTAACGCCAGGCTAAGCGGAGGTGGAAGTCATTTTGAAAAAGAGTATTAGAGAAGTGCTGATTTTGTGAAGGAATGGGGAAATTTATAAAAGTAGACAAAGCCCGTGCAACGCTGGGCCATGCATCTGTCTTTTTTAACTAATTGCGATATCGGAATATAAATGGTCAAAACATGCATTGGCATCCAAACTAAACGCGTATACAACAAGCTTCAAAATTGAGTTGCAAGATTCCACCCGAACAATTTTCATTGCAAGTTAAATAAAAGCTTGAAAAATATAGCATACTTTGTACGTATACAGAGTGGAAGTATTGTAAAATATCTCGTTGTACAAATCAAACGAATTTCAAAAATATTTTACCCTAAAAAGTAATATTTGGAAGCGCGAGTTTATCGATCCCCGTACCTCTCGCATGCTAAGCGAATGCTCTACCATCTGAGCTAAGCTCCTGGTCGACACCTTTGTTATTGTAAACATGCTCACCTTAACACCTGAACAAGATCGTTATAGTAACTAGGTCAATTAAAAGTGTTACGGGGGAAACTAGAATCGAGTAAATAGATATCACATAGAATGTTTCAAAGTAAATAGAAATAGCTTGATAGATCTGCCTTTCTTAGTGTTCCCTCTAGAACAGTAAAAATATAACATACATTGTGCGTATACTGAGTGGAAGTATTGCAAAATATCCTGTTGTACAAATCAAACGAATTTCAAAAATATTTTACACGAAAAAGTAATGATTGGAGGCGCGGTGTATCAATCCCCGTACCTCTCGCATGCTAAGCGAGCGCTCTACCATCTGAGCTACGCCCCCGGTCCACACCTTTGTTGTTGTAAACATACTCGTCTTAACACCTGAGCAAGATCGTTACAGTAACGAGGTCGATATCGGAATATAAATCGTCAAAACATGCATTGTCATCCAAACTAAACATGTATACAAAATTTCAGCTCAATCACCTTCAAAATTGAGTTGCAAGATTCCACCCGAACAAATTACTTTAATTAATATCTTTTTAACTAATTGCTATATCGGATCATAAATGATCAAAGCATGCATTGTCATTTAAACTAAATGTGTATACAAAATTTCAGCTCAATCGGTTGAAGACATCACCTTCAAAATTGAGTTGCAAGATTCTCCACCCGAACATTTTACATTGCAACTTAAATAAAAGCTTGTAAAAAATAGTTGTTGATTGCTTATTGCTCATAAAGATTTATTTGTAATTTAAAATAGAATTTTTTAACATTAACAGGTGCATAAATGTAAAGATAATTAAACGTAAAAATTTTACTTCCGTTGCTTTTAATTTAAATAAATGGGAACCATTTAAATGTGGTGTAAAAAAAGTTCATTTTTCCTTCTCGCAGACGTCCCACAAAATTATTTTAATTTTAAGTAAAAAGTTAAAAGGTCATATTTTTAGTGAGTTTATATAGCAACTTTACTTTATTAGTACATATAAATAATAAAAGTTCTTCGCGCTAGTTTTCTGTGTGTTTTTTACTTTTCTATTTATCTGTCATAGTAACAGAAGTTACAAAAAAATAAACAAACAAAATAAGTTTAATATAAAAATTTTGCTTTTGTATTAAGCAACTGAAAACTTAAGGCAAAATACAAGTAGAATAACTTAAAAATATCCTATATTTTGATGAAAAATTGTGACAATTGATCTCAGAGTTAAAATTAAGCTCATTCATTCTTAATTATTTTCTAGGGTATATTTAAGTCTTTTGTTTGAGTGGCAGGTTTGAAGTACCTTTTAGTTTTTGAACTTAAGTAAAAATTCTGTTTCAAAAGATGGAAATTCGTAAATTTTTCGTATTTCGTTACAGGATAGCCAAGTCCTTTGTGGACTCTAACTTTATTTTCACGAATTAATTAGAGAGCTACACTATTTCCTCATATTTTAAATATATATTTAAATTTGCTATAGGGTTCTTTGAATATATATATATTTATTTAAATTAAGATGTCCTACTTATTTAATTATGTCCTAAAAATACAGATAATTTATTTACACTATCAACATTTTTTCGAAAAATAAATGCTGAAATAAAAAGAAATTTATATCTAAAAAACAAATTATCAAAAAATAACTGAAATAATACAAAAGTGTGAAAAAAATTTGTTGATTGAAATCATTTTACGTTAAAAATTGACAGAATTTATTAACTCTATTTAATTTTAAATATAATCTTATATTATTAAGAGTTTCTCTCAAAAAAAATATTACAATTTAAAAGTATTAACTCTACCCATGTTTATTTTTACCCATCAAATCGAACTTTTAAGTGCGCAATAAATAAAAGTTAACCCTAAAATTCGAATTTCCAGGAACAATTTTTAATTAATTAACTTCCCCATCGCGACTCACACAACCTTTCAAAATATTCTGAAATTAAGAAAAATACCAATTATATATGCATTCGTTTTCGGCTGAGTAAATAAAGATTGGCCCACACACAACTTAGATCTAAATATTGTCGCGCCTCTGAAATCTACTTTATTTCGCTGGAGGTAGAAAGGCAGCTGGCTGCCAAATATTGACTCTGGAAAGTTTCAAAACTAACTTTTCTGTTATCGTTTGCAATATCCGGGGAATATTCTCTCGTTAGGACAAATACTGGAGCTTGACATGTCTCACTGGAGTTCCGGGCGTTATTAAACGATGTCATTTAGCGAACGAAAGTGTTTATAGGGATCCCATGCTTACGTAATAAGTGTTCAAGGTCTCAGTGTTGGGTAAATGTTGGGTAATGCATATTTTCGGGGACATTTTTAATCCCCTCAAGGTGTCTCTATCCGCCTTTACAAACACTTTTCGTAACCTTTTTCTCATCTTCTCGGTAACTGCAGACCGAGACACTAAGTTTCTATTTGCGTAGACATACGTGTCGTATAATTTCAGACCTCAACGCGTCAACGCTTGACTATCTATTGACGGAAATGATACAGACGGTATTTTCAACTTTTGCTCCGAATTGGGTGATTTCGAAATCAAATAGAGAAGCCGTCACTTATAAATCGGTCCCAGTGACGGACACCATTAATTCAAATATATAGCCAACATGTAAGCTTGGAATATTGAGAATTTAAACCGAAATTTGAAAAAAGTATATGAAATTTTAAACACATTAACATATAGAAAATTTTATATGAACAGAAAATCTCTCATAAAGAGTTTGATTTAACACAGGAATTATTTTGAATATATGTTGAATTAAAATAATAATTAAGAAAGTAACTACAAATACACTAAAATTAATTAATAGTGTTCAGTAGCGCACACAGGAATTTTTCAAGGGGAGGGTCCGGGGTCGAAAGTTCACCATTCTTGCATCACGCTCCTTTTGATTTTGTCGATTTTCGGGAACAAAACACAGTAAAAAACTAATTATTTAATAAATAATTAGCATTAATTAATAAAAGTAATCATTAATAACAAATACTTAATTAAATTCTACGTACTATATACTTAGAATTATAATCGGAAAAAAAATCAAGGACTTTTGGTGGGTGTCCGAACCCTTTAGGAACCCCCCCCCCCTTGTGTGCGCCACTGATTGTGTTTGATTCTTATTTTATGGTCATTTTAATTTGGGTGGCCCACGGTAGCCTAGTGTTATGGTCACGAGCTCGTGGTAGGCTGACCATGAGTTCGAGTCTAGTGCTATTGAATTTTCATCGTGCAGAGAGGATTGATACATGTTAAATCTGTCGAGGCTCAATGTCTTCCCGTGGTTTGGTGTGGTAGTTAGGAAACGGAGGAGTCATCTCAGGCGTCGCCCTCTTTTCTGGAACGTGGTTCAAAATTACGAGGCTCGTCGCCAATAATCATCGTGTTGCTTTATAGCGCAACGTTATTAAACACACACTCACTCATTTGAATATTTATCTTTATGCATAAATAAATTAAGCAGAACTTAATTTATTTTTAAGAATTTTAATTTATTACTTTCTCGTGGAACAATAATATGTTATATCAATAATAATTATGCCGGAGGAATTGAATATGCTAATAGTATATCTTCTTTTCAAATGGGCTGTGGATTAGTAATTACCATTGGAGACCTCGTACACTCCCCAGAAGTTGGTATTACTTTTTAGTGTGGCACCCCCTATAGGTGGATATCAATTGCCACAATGTAATTTTGACACCCAGTTTCCTCCCCAGAAGTAGGCATCTGAGCTGTCCCGATGTGAAATGTACTAGGAATTCAATTTTGCCGAGAGCACCCAAACCAAGCAGGAACTCAAGGAATATTTAACATCCCGTAGAATCATACGACATGGACGATATCAATTTTCTGCATTATGCAAATCCACCCACTCTGGCGGGGTCAAACCCTCACGGTTGGGCGTACAAGGCCAGTACTTAACCAACGATGCCACCCAACCGACTGCTAACAAAATATAATTACACCTAATTCTGTTTTTACACGATAGATACCTTCCTGAAAAATACGTGCAAAAAAGTTCTGTAAAAAATATATTGCATTAACTAAAAAGAATAGATTGATTCCAGTCCAAAGAAATCAGCAAAAATAATATAACAAACCATGAGTTTTCGTGTTAAGATCTTTTAAGGTATTTGACTACGTTCGGAACCGTGATTTTGCAAAAGCTTGTAAATGGATAATATTTATGAAATTTAGTGTCACTTAGATTAGAAAATGTATATAAAATTGTTTTAAGAATAGTATTACAATAAAAAATTATTTAAGTACAATATTTTCATAAAAAAATGAACGTAGAGTGACCCATTTTCAAATTAGTCTCCTTTTGTGAAAAATGCTTCTATTATAATAATATTTTGCCTGTATATAGCTCAGACCTCTGTACAGAGGCTCAACTAGAATTTTTGAAATATATATCTTAGAAGTGGGTTCATCGATGTTTTACGACAACAGAGGGGAGAAATTTTCAGAAAAATAAAAATGGAGCGTGGAACGCCACGCAATGGAAGTTAAACTTCTTTGGTGACGTTGACCGTAAATGGAGGAATACATCTAATTATATTAAACTGTTGGGGGAACTTATAATAATCAATTAAAATTCAAACTTATTTTCTCAATCGCATGATTTTCATTGCCATATAAAGCAAATGCTGTGGGGTCACTCCATAACAATCAACACGTCTTAATTCACTTGTGGCTATCATGAATGGTGTAACTCTAATTCCTTCCCTGAAGTTTCTAAAATGACCCAAGTAAATTGTTGGGAAAGAGAGCTCCTCAGCATGTTCATCAAATAGCAAGCTTCTTGGTACATTCACTTTTCCAGGAGCGATACGAAGATATTTTTCTTCATTCTATAACAACGTCTGTTGCTGGGCTGTAAGACTCTCTTCAATAGTTATATTTTCGCTGATTTCATCTTGAGGAACTTAAGACGTACTCTGGTTCAAATTGAAGAAACTATCATCGATTGTAACATC